CACTTTCAGCACTGTTCTCAGTCCGCTTAATACTGGTCTACCATCTACTTCCACATCACCATCACCACTCATGATGAGCTCCCAATATATTCTGTTTCAGACCCATGACCTCTTAATACAAATACTTTAGTTGAGGCATTATGATACATTTAGCTTTGTTGTTTTTTTCTTTAAATGGGCTTCCCCTCGTTGCTAACCTGCAACTTATGTGACTTCAAGCAAGCCAATTAAAGCCTCAGCTTTTCCATGAGTAACAGAGATAATGATCCCTAAGCAACTTACCATGCTACCGAGCCCAAAGAGAGGTAATCTAGGCATTGGTGGTAGGTACAGTAGTAAGCATAGCTGCCTTCCAAAGAGAGGTAATCTATGTGGGAGTTCCCTGTAAATGCTTCACTTTTTCATCAGTTCATTCTTGTTTAATCCCTAGTATAGACCAAACACTGAACTGTGATATAAAATAATTAAATCCTCACTATATGATAAAGAGCTCACTCTTTTCTGGGTAAGGGAATACGGAAAAGAGTACCAGAGAAATACAGTGATCACAGGTGGTCCTGATTGCCCGGGTGGCTGCTTCACACAGGTGTCCAGGGAGGTCTCAGGAAGTGACTATGACCTGAGTGTGATGAGGAGGAACTAAGTGTGCAAAAGATTAGAGGGAAGTGTGTTCCACAGCTTACTATCCAAGAAACAGAAAAGGCAGCCAGGCACCAGGCATGAAGGCACGTAAACCAGGAGAGGAGTTTGCATTCTATTCCAAGCCTTAGGAAGCCAGTGGAGAGCATCAGTAAAGAAGTAGCGGAATCTGATTTACACCTTTAAAACACTCCTTAACCACCACATGAACAATCAATTGTAGGACAAGAGTGGATGTAGAGAGACCAGTCAGGACATGGCTGTAGTCATCCAAACAAGAGATGGAGGGTGCCTAGATTAAAATAACAGTGGCAGAGCAAAATTAAACTGCCCAATAAAAGATATGCTTTGGAGGTAAAGTTGACAGATTTTACTGATGAAATTGGATAGGGCAATGAGAGGAAAGAATTATGGATAAACTCTGGATTTGCAGCTTCATTAACTGAGTGGATGGTGGTTGTGGTCCACTGTGATGGGGAAAACTAAGGTAAAGCAGGGAACAAGGCACCTGGGCCAAAAGAATAGACGTAGTCAGGACTAAAGACTAGGGTAAGGATCACTGGCATGTTGACAGCATTAGAAACCATGGGCCTTGATGAAATTAGCTCATCAGAACAGACCAAGTCCCCAGGCACCCCCTACCTAGGTGCCAAGCAGCAAAGGAGTCTGAGGAAGAGCCATCAGTGACCAAGAAGAAAATCCAGAGTTTTATGTAAACACAGAGGTGAGTGAGGAAAGACAGAGTAGTCACTTGTGTGTGGAATGGTGCTGAGTGGTCAAACAGGTTAAGGATAGAGAAGCGACCTTTAGATTCAGCAACAAATGATGGCCATATCAAAAGCACTCTCCATGGATTAGAACAGAGTCTAACTGGAATAGTTGAGGAGAGGATGCAAGGTGAGGAATCAGAAGGGATTAGTAAAGGACTATAAATATCACTATCTTGGTTCAAAAGACACCCTGAACACTTTACTGTCCACATCCTAGTTTAATATATCTATTTTTTTCTCCACAGCCTATTCAAAAAGTATGTCTATAAAGCAACGCAACTGAACCTCGAGACTGATTTATGAAACAAGCCTCTTCGTTTTACAGTTACATCTCCTACACACAGACAGAACATGTCTGCCAAGATGCTAAATGTGTACATATAACAAGTCTGAGAATGGCCCTCAACATGCATGTAGGAAGTATGTCTACTGATGGACCTAAATGCATGTAGCTATAGCATATCTGTTAATGGTTTCTTTCACAGCAGTGGCTATCAAGCCATTACCTGATTCCATCCCACATATTCCAGGCAAGAGATCCATCAGAGACCATTTATTCCCACCTGCTCGATTTCCAATGGGAAAAAGAACTCTGTAACAACTGTAAAGTATCACAGTAAAAAACAACTGGGAGATATATATATGTGTGTGTGTTTAGGCATAAGTCCATGAATGATTCTTTTGGAATCGTAATTGTTTGAAAATTACAAGCCAAAAATACTATTGATACATGTATGCATCGTTCACTTTACAAAGAATAAACCAAATAACAAACTTATTTGACAATAACAATATTAAGCTAAAAGTTGCAGAAATGTAAAGAGTAATTAAGATGTGCTAATTGTGGCATTTGAAAACCAGAAATGACTCAAAACAAAGGCTATATAAATTCCAACTGAGAATGGGCAAGTAGTGTAACTGAAAGGATGGCAGATGCCAAGGTACAGAAAAACCTCTTGGAGTTGCAAGTCAACTTTGGTGAAGGTATCAGTTTTAGGAATCTGTAACAAGGCCACTAAACAAAATACCAATAAGTAACCATTAATACATATAAAATAAATGGAATTGCACAACACTCTCTGGGAGAAGCAAGAACTGAGCACACACACAGGATAGTAAATGACACCCAGAAAGTGGTAGGTTTGGCTCCTTGGAAAGCAAGCCCACACATGCTGCTTTACAAAGATGCTGCTCCATCAGGCTGCCACACCCGGCACAGTGGGACAGGTTGGCAGAACACCTGGCTGCTCAAGACAAGTGTTGGAACAGCTGCAATCCCTGCAACCACAGATCAAAAGAATAACCTGCTGGCCCAGAACCGTCTCACAATTGGAGTTTCTTTAGCCTGCAATGTTGGACTGCTTTGTATTGTATAGTATCTGAATTTGCACTAAGATTTTAAAACTGGAAGACTCCGTGGTTTTTTAAAAAAAGAAAACCTTTTCTGCTTCTCAAAAACAGCAAAGACCAAGACCCAGCTGTCTCTTTAGCTGTGGCATGTATGCTCCAAAGATTCACTATCTCCTCCAGAAAATCTACCAGACACTGAGTCATATATATGTCTGCTGCCATTTGCCTTTGAATCTGTGCTGTAACTCTGCTTAAATCTAGCCTGTTCCATTTGTTCATGCTGCCTTCCAATTCTTCACCATTTGAATTTGCAACCGTTATCTCAGGGTATGTTGAAAAGGTCCCCTAATGGTCTACCTGAGAAAAAGACTACAAAGGTTCTTTAACAGCTAAAAATGTTAGCTACTGATGTTCTCCACTGAACAACTTGTAAAAGTCAGAGAAAGCAAACTTTCTCCCTGCTCTTTTCAAAATGGCAATCTCAATATGTACAAAGATTCATAGAATTTTGTTGTTGTTGTTGCTGTTGTTGTTTTAGTAACCTAAGAAGAGTTTATTTGGAGATGTTGACCATTCATAAATTAATTCTTAAGTTAAAAGGTCAAATATATATCCAATGGGCTGGAGATAAAGTTCAGTGACAAGAGTGCTAGCATCATAGCATGTACAAGGCACTGGGTTTGATCCCCTGCATTGTCAAAAAAAACAAAACAAAACACTCACTCAATCTGTTTTGAACAGTTTGATAATAGGTTTAAGGTAGCAGAAGGAACCACATTTCAAAAGAACAACCTAAGCTAGACCTGGTGGCCCATACCTGTAATACCAGCATTCTAGGAGGCTGAAGCAAGAAGACTGCAAGTTCAAACTCATCCTAGACAATTTAATGACTTAAGAAGACCATGTTTCAAAATTTTAAAAAAAAAATTTTTTTTAAACAGCTGGGAATATAACTCATCGGTTCAATTCCCAGTACCCCCCAAAAAAAGTGCTCCAAAGAGAAAAAAAATTAGAATAAATTGCTTCAAAATACTTCTCTTATGCGCCGGGAACTTAGCTCAGTGGCACCATGACTGCCTTGCAAGTGCAAGGTCCTGAATTTGATCCCCAGTACCTCAAAAAAAAAACAACTTTTCTTGTGCATAGCAATTACAAAGGATTTTAACTATATAATTACTATTAAAGATATCGATAAGGCAGCCTTTATACAACCTCTACCACTGACTAATTTTACTCCTTAAACTGCTTTTAGATTATAAAATTTTTCCTAACCTTTTAAAAATAAACCAAATGAAGAACTGAAGTATTGGTTACTAGTGACTGACTGGCTAGAACTACCAAAAGTTTTCAACATCATACACTAAAAAACAATAATCTTCTATAAGCATACACACAGCCTAGAGTAAATTACACATTATAACACCAATTTCTCCTTTTCTACCACTCACACAAATGAAAGCAGCCTGGAAGGAGAAAACCACATAAAAAGAAATTATAAGTAGGCATATGTGCTTTGGAGACCAGGAAATAGATATGGTTGACAAAGGACAGAGGGGACAAAATTGGCTATTTTCTTTCCTGTCACTGTCCAAACTGCAACACCATGTGAACCCCCCCAAAAAAAGCCCGGATCAAGTTCCAACCTATCATGCCCCACCTCTTTAATTTCCATAAAAGTGATTCTGTATCAAAATCACAGCAACAAGAAACCACATAAAAGGAAAGCTGGCTATGACACAAACTGTTCAGAAGACTAGGATGAAGCCACTGTAACTTTAAAATAACTTTGCTCTAATTTGTTACTAGCTGAACATTTTTCAGTAATCTTGTTTCTTAGCATAGTATATCAGACTTCTACATTTCACCCAGCCTATTTTTTTAATTAAAAACAAAAACAAAAAAACTAGACTAACCACAAAAGCAGACCAACCACACAGATACAAGTATTATTCCCCAAGGTGTCTTTCCTCCAAGTGTTAACAGCACAAAGTACATCAAAGAAATTTGTTTAACTTTGGGCTGAATTAAAACTTCATTTGAATTAATAGGAGAGTGAATAACGACTACTCAAAACAGTTTTTCCCATTTTCAACCAAAAACTGGAGTCTGAAATGATGTTTGCTTTTTATCTGATTAACAACATGTGGTCAAGCAGTGACGCTTTCCCAAGGACACTCTGGCTCTGAACTTTCTTCGTCAGAAAAATGACAAGTCCCAGGGATGCCGTGGGAATTCACTTACCCGATCCTTCATCCTCCAGCTCTGTGCTAGGGATTTGGAGCCTTCAATTTTCTCACAGTGTCTCTTTTTCATAAATGCCAAAGGCAGATTCCAGTCTGTAAGGTCGGCCTCATCTTCCTCCCCGAGTCCCAAAAGGGGCGACTGCAGCATCTCGGACTCCATCAGGGGGGGAGGGGGTGGGGGAGTCCTGGGCAGTAAGCGCTCGAGAACCTCCAGCCTTAAAAACTAGTGTGTACCAGAATTAATGAAATAAAATATGGGAGGGGGAGCCAAAAAGTAATGGATGAAGTGTTCGGAAATTTGTATCTCAACTCTGCGCGGGAAGTCGAAGCGGGGGTGGAAGAGCTGATGGGAAATGGGCAGCCCAGAGAGCTCCGCACAGACACACGCACACTCAGATCCCCGGCCACTGTCTGCTCCTGAGGCTGTCAGTTCTCAGTAGAACTTCGAGCGGAGCTGTCAAAGGCGTGAGAGACTTCGGGCTTCAAGATGACCCTGCTCGGCCTCCAACGCCTGAGCAGATCCGAGGACTGTCGGGCCGTCTGCTCTGGCGCAGACTCGCCGCCTGCGCCGTCTGAACTGAGGTCTCCGGCCAAGGGGAACAGAGTCTGAGCGTCTCGGTCTAGTCGGGCCACGCTCAGCCCTGTGGGTCCCGCACTCGCCTCAGCTGCTGCAACCAGAGCCAGCCCATCGTGCTCACCCGCAACCGGTTCCTCAACCCCGGGTTCGCGAGGCCTTGCTGGCCCTGGCCTTCGGCCCCGTAGCTCCCTCCTGCCTGTGAACAAGTCCCGAGGAACGGGCCACACGGACGCGCGGAGAAAAAGGATAATGTGGTCTTACTGGGTTAGGGGAGTTTTGCCCTTTGGTTGGGAGCTACAGTGAAACTCCTCTCATCAGCGCATCAAGGAGGACGCCATATTGCCAAGGCCCAGCATGCTCCGCGATCTACGGTGCGACCAACAAGCCAAACCTTTTCGAGCGTTCTCGCTCCGGGTCTCTCAAGAAGTCTCTGTCCCCGTTGCCCTGGTGACCGCGGTCTGGTTTTCTTCGTATACCCCCCTTCTTTCTGTAGATGCATGTTACCAAAGTCAATCTGAGATCGAAGCTATGTCCACTTACTTATTTATTTTTAAAAGATTTTTGCTACTACAAATGGAGCTACACTTCTAAATTAAAGAAATCGACCACATTGTTTCTTCCAGATTTTGAAAAGGTTGCAAAAACTTCAGAAAAAAACCACTGATAATATCACAAAAGATTGGGGGTTTTGATTGGCTTGTGGTGGGCACATAGAATCCTCCACGGTGTCAAGTCTTTGTTGTTGTTGTTGTTGTTGTTGTTTGTTTGTAATTTTTCCATAGAAAACCAAGTTGAAAAAAAAACTATTTCAATTTTTTGTTTAATCCATCTTGTTCCTGATGTTTCTTCTTATTTTAATACAGTTTCGTGTGCAAATAATTAAAATTGTAGATTTCTATGCATAGAGGTAAGCCTGCATTACTTCATTTGTGTATTTCAGTTTGGTAAATTTTGCCTTCTTACAATATGTGGATTACTGTGTTAGTACAGCTGGGAATGTAAAACCAAATGGCAGTGGGCTGAGGGTGTAGATCAGTGGTATGGTGAGCCTAACACAGAAGATGCCCTGGATTCAACACAACACACAAAAAAAGAAAAGAGGAGGGGGGGATCTGAATGTGGCATGCAGTGCCTGCCAAAAACACACATCTAGTCATTAAAGAGAACAAAGACAGACAACGAAATCCAGGCTTTTCTGCCTTCTCTGCTGTCAGGCTTTGGTGCCAATATAGCCTTGGTTACATTATTTTCCATCTCTGTGACCTTGGGCAGTCTCTTAACAGTCTTAGTTTCCTAAACTATAAGATTTGGATAAGTATTACCCCTTTGAAAGAACAAAATTAACTCGTGAAGGTTTAGTGCACAGTAAGGGCTCCCTGAATGTTAGCATGAACAGGTCTTTGGCTACTGCAGTCTAGCACCTGTGTGTCTCATTGATCTAAAGCCTCAGATTGGTCCCCGCTAGATACCTTCTCTCTCTCTCTCAAGTGGTATCCCAGGGTTGGGTGCCATGTGGTAGTCCATATCCAGGTGGCATCATCTGCATTCCTTGCAGCCTGAAACTAATGTGACAATCCCAGATCATTCTCACCCACCACACAGCAAGTGTTTAATAAAGTTCTTGGGCCAATTATCATTCCAAATATTCATATGGTTATTGCATCCCACTGAGTTCATAGAATGGCCCACCATGCAGCAGGATTCCACTGGATCGCTGGAATGAACTTTGGAGAGAATATTGTTTCCTGTCCCAAGATCTGGCTAGTTTTATGCAATCATCCTCTCACTGAAATTCAGGGCAATTCAAGAGAACACTGAATAAGTTTAACCTTCTCTTTCCCCGCTACCTGTTGCCAGAGAACAGCCATGGTTACCAGCAGACAATTGGGAACCGCATGGAATCAAGAACACCCCATTTTCACCTGATGACATCAGAATGATTCCTGCCTCTGCTTTGTCACCTGCCTTTCTCTTACAGCCCTAAAGTAGGCATCATGGTAGACAGAAGCCCTCCTACAACCCTGGACTGCACAAAGCTCTGCTCCAAGCACTCTTGCAGGAAGCCACAGCTACAGAAAAGCAAGTGTTAACCCTTTTCATTCCTGAGCAGCTCTATGTCTAGGAAACCCCACTTCATCTCTACACTCTCTTGCGAAGGGTGTGACCTTGAGAGAATTCCACTTGCCTCATGGGATATTCTGAGTAAAAAGTAATAAGTCAGCCCATTGAAATCTAAATCCAGCAGGTGATCAGAATCACCCAGAAAATTAAAAATCCAAATGCCCAGGTTCCACCCTAGATAGATCTGCTCCATCTGAGGGAGCAGGAAAATAGGTTCAGGGTTTGTTTTTAATAAAGTAACCCAGGTGATTACATAAAACCAGACAGATTTGGAGACAGGAAATTATATTCTGTCCAACATCCTACCCAGTGATCCAGTTCTAGCCCCATGGTGGGTCTTCCATAAACATTCACACTTAATAAATAAAGGCTATGAAGCAATTGTCCAAACTTCCATCTAATGGAGCAAAACAAGCTCTTTCCCTCCCAGAACAGCAAGGCAAAGCCACCCTCGGCTGTTTCACATATGTGACCCAGAACCAGAAGAGCACCTGGGTCTGTGTCTTGGTCTGAGGATAGGGACACAAACACACACACACACACACACACACACACACACCCACCCCACACACACACACACAACGTGCCCTCTCTCCACACA